TTGATTACTTGTTCAAAATTTTTTCCCACTTGTTGATTAAAAAGAACGAAATAAAATTTATTGACAATCAGTATTCATATGATAGGGAACTTATCAAGGTATGTATTTAATTTAATCATCACGTTCATCCTCATAGTTCAAAATGCGAACATACATTAGTAATTATTCGTGAAAACTAATTTTCTTTCTTAATCTCTTTCTATCGAACATTTTTATTGCCTGTTCTTCGATAAATAATTTTTTATTGAAAATAGTGAAGAGAATGTTTATTGATAAATAGATAATAGATGAAGAAGAAACTGATCGAAGCGAAACGATAGAAAATAAACAATAGGGTGTAAGTGTGAGAGTCTTCTTCTTTCTCGCACACCATACCTACATCGTCGTTACATGACTTCGCTATTTTTTATTGAACAGGTTTGTGTCCAACGAAAATTTCAATGCAATGAAATCGATTTGACATCAACTCAAGACAGACAAAGGTAGGAACCTGCATTTTGGTTAAGCAAGTGAACTAGAAGAACAAACGATAGATAATCGAAGAAAAACTGATGCTTGAAAGTGGGTGTGGGTTTTGAAGAATAGAACACCGACACCCATAGATGTATAGAATAATGGTGAGATTAGTAAACTCAAAGCAAAACTATGCTAAAATTATCGTAATTACAAGTTTGTTTTTTTTTATTTGAACAAATCTATTTCAAGAAAATAGTTATATTTGTTCACAATAATCTATTGATTTTAGGGCACTTTTAAATAAGACTCTATTGTTCGTTTATCGAGAAAGGTTGAATGTACATGTTTGAGTTATATAAGAAAAATCTCAGCTGTTTTGCTTTAAGTCGAAGTTCCCAAAAAGAAAAGTCGAAACCAATCTAAAGCCACCATCGTTACCATTGTTTTATACGTAAATTGAGTTGAGATGAATAATATTGGGAACGTCAAAAATGCGTGTATTCAAGAAAACTTTCATTTTTTAAATTTTATTATTTTATTCAGATATCAAGAATTTTTCGATAAGTCGGTATGAATGAAGTTGTTGATAGGGTAGATGTGGATATTCTCATCATGCGCACTTACACTCATACTCCACTCACATCTTCGCTGATTCTGGTCACATTCTGATCGGGTCTGTCTCGTAGACTTCGACCTGAATTGATACATAAAATATCCTTAGTTAATTCCCAAGTAATCAATCAATGATATGAGAAATGAATAGATCAATTTATTTATGTAAATAGACTTTCGAACCACTCGGTGTTAAATAGTATCGACCACCTTTTGAACCTTCATAGATCGGTCGACCACTAGCCATACCTCTACTTGTATACACTTCTCCTGTTAGACGTCCTCCATGAGTGTTTGATTTATGAAGATTATTTGGAGATTGAATCTTTTTGCTGCCATCATGAGTCGATGCGTCATTGCCATCATTTTTCTCCAAGAATGACGGTTCAGTTGCTAAAGGGCTATCGACAGACATACAATCTACATACTCATCGATGGAAGCATTGCCGTCTTCGTCACCGTTCAGTTTTCGTAAAATATCAGTAAATGCAGGACGATCAGTTTTTGACCAGGCACAGCATTGTATGAGTAATTGACGTAAGTGTGATGGCCCCGATTGAGTGG